GATTAAATCGATCTGCTGCACCACTGAGTACATCGAACTCTTGTGTGTTATGATTGGCCCAATGGATGTGTTTTTCCAGTATTATTACGTGTTGAATCTTCATTCGGATACACCAGGGTTGAGTTGTGCATGGGTAAATCTCAAATCACCACCGATAAATCAACCGCCAACAACATTGCGCGCCTTTTACTCTAATACTTAATTTAAAATAATTGAATTTAATTTTTAAAAAGCTGGCAACCCTTGTGAAAGACTTAAAGGTTATTCAAAACTTTCAAACTAAAGGTTTCTTAACAATATTTTGTTAGGCAACCATATTTTAATTCTTTAGCTTGCGCATAATTAATTTAAACTTGACTTTTCAAACAGGTGGCAACCCTTTTCAAAATTTATTCGAACTACAGCTTTTTTAAGCCTCTTGACATCCATTTTTTAATATAATTTTGAAATAAATAACTCCCTTAATTGAAGTTAAACTTGATTTTTTAAAGGATGGCAGCCCTCATCCATGAGTAAATAATGATTTTATATATCTCCATACATAGTTCCAGTAATATATCCAAAATATTTCCTGAGTAATGCAGTATGAAAAATTCCGTTTTTATGGGAGGGCGTGTCACCTTGTCTAATCGAGATTAAATCTATCCTATATTTTAAGTTGGGCTAAATGACAGCAGTGTACAAAATTTCATGATGATCGGTTGATTAGTTAAAGCGTGGAAGCATAGCAAAAAAACGAGCTCACTTTCGGATTTATAATATTAAAGTAAGGATGTGAATGTATCTAGTTATTATATGAGGCCTTGAGCGCCAGCGTAGCTTAACTGACATTCAAAATGCATTACCAGAACCAAAACGGTAATATCCCGAGGCACACCCTTTTAATTTTCTCTTATTATAATATGCAGCATCACGTAGGCGCAATGAATTTTTTAGTAAAATACCGCTTTTTTTTATACATATTACTTATTTTTTTTGTAAATAGGCTCCTCTGGCCCTCATGGCCTCATATGTAAAATTAATTTGTTTAGTTTCCTTTTCATTGCACGGATGTCTTACTTATGGCAAATAAACGATTTTGTTTTTACAGTTTATTGTATAATAAAATGTTTTTTTTTCTTGGTAACTTTTAGGTAAACTTTTTTGGTAAATTCTGGTCAGAAAATTTTGTGTCGTGTGGCAACCGTCGCTAGGACATTCAGTAGGAGACTTGCTTCTGTCTATGTCTGAGTTGAAAGCTTCAGGATTGCTTCAAGCATTGAATTTGTAAGATATTTCCGGCCACTTGTTGACATAAATATGTATGTGCGTATTCTAGTTTTAGGGCCTTAAAACTGTTGACCTGTGTAATCGAAGACAGTCCAGTTTAAAAAACATGGTTGCAAATTTTACTAATTAATTAATTTATTTATATATTATTTTTATTAGGAATATAATTGTACAATTTTCAGATCTGACAACATCAGACCACTAAACCGGAGGCTTAGATTTGGGTTTTCTACCATTTTAGCTAAGTTAAGTTTTATCTTTAATGAACAAACATTGGAAGCTTACATGGTTCATCAAGATTTTGGAAAACATTTTTTTCTTTATGATTATTTTCACAAAAAAAATATAAACACTTTTTAAACATTGGAAGCTTACATGGTTCATCAAGATTTTGGAAAACATTTTTTTCTTTATGATTATTTTCACAAAAAAAATATAAACACTTTTTNTTTAAAGGATGGCAGCCCTCATCCATGAGTAAATAATGATTTTATATATCTCCATACATAGTTCCAGTAATATATCCAAAATATTTCCTGAGTAATGCAGTATGAAAAATTCCGTTTTTATGGGAGGGCGTGTCACCTTGTCTAATCGAGATTAAATCTATCCTATATTTTAAGTTGGGCTAAATGACAGCAGTGTACAAAATTTCATGATGATCGGTTGATTAGTTAAAGCGTGGAAGCATAGCAAAAAAACGAGCTCACTTTCGGATTTATAATATTAAAGTAAGGATGTGAATGTATCTAGTTATTATATGAGGCCTTGAGCGCCAGCGTAGCTTAACTGACATTCAAAATGCATTACCAGAACCAAAACGGTAATATCCCGAGGCACACCCTTTTAATTTTCTCTTATTATAATATGCAGCATCACGTAGGCGCAATGAATTTTTTAGTAAAATACCGCTTTTTTTTATACATATTACTTATTTTTTTTTGTAAATAGGCTCCTCTGGCCCTCATGGCCTCATATGTAAAATTAATTTGTTTAGTTTCCTTTTCATTGCACGGATGTCTTACTTATGGCAAATAAACGATTTTGTTTTTACAGTTTATTGTATAATAAAATGTTTTTTTTTCTTGGTAACTTTTAGGTAAACTTTTTTGGTAAATTCTGGTCAGAAAATTTTGTGTCGTGTGGCAACCGTCGCTAGGACATTCAGTAGGAGACTTGCTTCTGTCTATGTCTGAGTTGAAAGCTTCAGGATTGCTTCAAGCATTGAATTTGTAAGATATTTCCGGCCACTTGTTGACATAAATATGTATGTGCGTATTCTAGTTTTAGGGCCTTAAAACTGTTGACCTGTGTAATCGAAGACAGTCCAGTTTAAAAAACATGGTTGCAAATTTTACTAATTAATTAATTTATTTATATATTATTTTTATTAGGAATATAATTGTACAATTTTCAGATCTGACAACATCAGACCACTAAACCGGAGGCTTAGATTTGGGTTTTCTACCATTTTAGCTAAGTTAAGTTTTATCTTTAATGAACAAACATTGGAAGCTTACATGGTTCATCAAGATTTTGGAAAACATTTTTTTCTTTATGATTATTTTCACAAAAAAAATATAAACACTTTTTAAACATTGGAAGCTTACATGGTTCATCAAGATTTTGGAAAACATTTTTTTCTTTATGACTATATTTTCACAAAAAAAATATAAACATTTTTTAAACAAAGAAAAATAGCAAAAACTTGCTAAAATGTCTCTTCCCTATGTACATTCTCGTCACTGTACATACATATGCATATGTATGAAGTAGTAAGAGTTAAAACAACTGGTATGACATATGCATGTATAACCGATGTTATTTATTTATATTTTCCATCCCAATTTTTTCTTATTTTTCTATAAAGATATAGTTTATTTTACAGCCAAAACCATATGAATAAATTTTTTTATGTTCATTCAGGAAATGCAAGAAATTCCTATCGAAATTTTAAAATTTTCAACTCAATTTCTTAGAAAAATTTTGAGTAGGCAGTTTTGTAGCCCATTAAATTCTGGTATAAAAAGTGTATGTCTCAAGTCCCTAAACTCTGCCATTGATTTTTGAGATTTTTTTTGTCGAGGATTTTGCGCATTTTCTTCCAATTAACTTTGAACGAAATCTAAGTGGAAAAATTTATTTGGAAGAAATGCGCTACACCTTCGAAATAAAATCTCAAGAAATCAACGGTAATTTTAGCGACTTGAAACTTGCACTTCAAAAATTAAATGGGGCTACAAAATTACTAACTGAAAAATTTCAATGAAAATTTCTTGGTATTTTTTGCATTTTGATGAGTTTTGAGTTTGCACAATTTGATTCTTGTTGATTGAATTATATTTTTTTATAAAAAAATTAGAAAAATTTGGCATGGAAAAAATAAATTAATAAAATTGTCAATCGTATGCATATTTTTGACGCTGCCTGTTCAAACTTTGGGAAAATGGGAATGCATTAACTTTTTCTAACAAGAAAAGATTAACAACTTCGGTTGAACGAAAATATGCATCGCAATGTAAGCGAGTGGATACTGCTTACGTACCGCAACACAAACAAAACAAAAAGTTTGAGAATTAACATAAGTATAGCTGATGCCAGATAAAACTTTGTAGCTTTGCGTGACATTTATAAATTTGCCAGCAAAGCGCCAGACGCAAAAGGTATGCCACAATGAACGCCAAGAAATCAATTTTGCACTGCTTTTTTACTCGTCAAAATTGCTGTGGATTTAAGATATTTTGCTTTAAAATTATCAGCAATGTAATTGAGTTTTATGTTTCAGCATGAATACTCGAATTTGGACGAAACAAAATAAATATTAAACCGGCTGATTGTCAAAGCGCGCAAAAAGATGGGAGTTGGCCATCTTTTCGCTTCGCGCTGCAGCTTCAATGATCTATGTGGCATGCTTTGTGCATTTTCATACAATTCATCTTAGCTGTCAAAGCGAATCTGTCACGTAAAGCGAAGCAAACGTTTTATGTGGCATCAGCTTATGTCCTTTTTTAACGTGATTTCAACAGCATCTGTAGCTGAATGGCGTGTTCGACTGCCAGCTTGTTGGCTACGGGTTCAAACCCTTTGGCATGGACGTTTTTATATTTTTTATTCTATAAATTATATTTATAGTTTTGTAAAACGACTTGCGACACATTACATTCGTATGACAACGCTGTCGAGAAATTCTTGCACCTTTTCGTGCATAGGTTATAATGGATATTCATTACTATATGCATTCCCAAACATTACTTTTTCCCACTGGATCCACATGCACACATACAGTAAGTACTTACATTCCGGTCCATTGATTAGAGGCAATAATTTTGATGAAAGAAAATGGTTATTAAAGCAACCGTATTTGATCTACATAGTAACAAAATATTTTCTAATAACTCAAGTTAAGGCTGTACTTTGCTCAAAAAAAAAAACACACATCAAAATATTATTCCATCTAACGGTATTTCGCAGCAGTAATATTGTGCTTGATTTAGTGGTTCACTTGAGTCAATAACCTAACTTGAATTAACAGAAAACCTTTTGTTACTGCATAAATAAAATACAGTTGCTTTAATAACCATTTTCCTCCACAAAAATTATTTTCTCTAATCAATTGAACCGGAATGTATATTCATACATACATACATATACTTACATGTATGTACGTATGTGATACACAAATGTGTATGTATGCATCTATACATACATACTTGTAAGCATTTCGTTGAATCTTAAATATATATATTATGTGTAACTAAAAACAAACAAAATGCTAAAATTCGGAAAACCATGCCAAGATTCCGCAATGCAATCAAAGGAAATTCATTGTTATTATTCGACGACGCCGAATTGGCGGCATCACAACAATTTGCCGCAAACTTAACTAGCTCGGGATAATAATTATTCCAAAATCTTACAGAGAACATTTTATTAACGACTTCTGAGTTAAAATTTTGGTCAATTATCAAAACTGTACTGTTCTCGGCTTTGTATGAGTTCCATTTAACATATACATTGGAAATAATGGGATTCGCAGATTTGGCGAAATTTGCCCACATTGTCATGACGACATCCGATATTTTCTTATCGCTTGAGTTCCACTCCTTTAGGAGATTGTTATTCATATATGGAACTCCCCACACAAAAATTTGATCGAAAAATTTAGGTACGCCTACCCATTCTGGCAGGTTTAATAATTTAGTTTGTGGACGGGTACTGAATAAGTATGCGAAGACATTATTGTCTTTGCTTATGATGTCTGCCATAAAAAATAACGGTGCAATGTACATGCGATCTGTATGAAAACTTAAGAATGTTTTGATGTCACCTTGAGATGGATATATATAGGTGATTGCGTCGATTATAATTTGTGAATTTGTACAATTTTCATCATTTTCTGTACTCATCTTCAGATCACGTTTCGAAACTTCATTAATAGCACGAAAAAAATCATTGTCTGTGAATTTAGTGTCTGTTATGTCATCCACTAAGCTAAGTGTGTCCTCCATGTCGGTTACGCCAATCAATATGGGAACATTTTGGAAGTTTCCTTCTTGAAACATTTTTCGAGGATGATCTCTGATAAAGGGAGATGAGGTGTTACTTAGGCCATAATCAATAACTGGACCCCACTCCACCTCTGGAATATTTTTTGCCAGTGTTTTTGCATCAACTTTCCTCAAACAAGCTAACAGCAGCGAGGTTGGCTTTCTAGTACAACCAAATAAATTTGATATTGAGTCCAAGGGGTATTTATAGAATTTTGGGTCGCGTACAGCGTCATCACTTATTGGATTGCCAGACATCATAATTGCTCCTGAAAACCCGCCTCTTGACCATTCTTCAGATATTAAATGCAATCCAACACTGATTGCACCTGCTGAGTGTCCCATAATTGTAATTCGGTTTTCATCTCCACCGAAGTGATTTATATTCTTTTTAACCCAAAACAAAGCAGCTGATTGATCCATCAATCCATAATTGCCTTGCGCTTCTCCATCGGCGGTAGACAAAAATCCAAAAATATTCAAACGGTATGAAAATGTCACAACTATTATTTTTTGTTTGAAAACGACCTGAAACGGTTCAATATCTGTAGGGGCACCGTTCGAAAAATCACCTGCGTGAATCCAAAATACTACAGCATATCCTTTGAGACCAGGGGAGCCTTAAATAAAAAAAATTAAAGCTTATACGCCTTACATGTACATATATACGTAGTAACTGTTGTTTTCCTTACCATCGGGAACGAAAATATTAAGATATAGACAATCTTCGTCGTATGTTATATCGTGGTCCTCTGCAACTTTATTTCTTAGAAGTTCATGTACGACTGTATTTTTGGCGTAGGACGGGTTTTGCCAACAAAGCGGTGCAAACTTTGTCGCGTTCTGAACTCCTCGCCACTCTGACATATCCAGATCAGGTGGAGAGAAACGTAAAGCATGGGCATACCTGATTCCCAAATATGCTTTAATATTTTGTGCCCGAAACATTTTGAGATAAGTACCCACAATAATTCCCTGTCCAGGAATAGTTATATGCGGAGCTTCCAAACAATTAACATAATTTTCAAAGCACAATATACATATACTTATAGTTAAGTACAAGGTGTGGTTAATTTTAATATTAAATTTTATCATGGCTTTTCCAAACTTTATTCCTTGCAAATTCCTTGAGTTGCTCTTTCAAACTATAAGCAAGTACGTGCTTAACTCCCATATTCTCTACGCTGTTGTCATGGAATTAGAAAAAATAATTTGCTCGCAAAGTTTGTTGCCATGATATTATTCATACTTACATACTTAGCTGCCTGCATACATGTGTATTTACATATGTAAGTATCCATACACATACATACATTTAGCTTAGTAAGTATATTAGCAGTAGTAGTATTCAGACTATTTCAGTAGTAACGTATAGCTAAATGACTATATTTCATAAATCTGTTGAAAATTTTTAAAAAAGTAAAAAAAAAGTAAAAAAACTTTTACTTGTATATACATATACAGGTATATATATAGGTATCTCCAATCTGACACTTGTATGACAAATTAAAAAAAAAATGAAAAAGTCAAAATTTTAAAAAGGTTTTTCTAGATTTGCATAGCAATTTAAAGGCCCCTCATTCAGTAAAAAAATTACAACTGTTGGTAGTAGCAATTTAAAGATATTAGTAAACATACGCACTGGCGTGACATTACAAAGAACAGAAGTGGATATTGACTTCGATTACAAAATTTCAAAACACTGCGAATTGGGAAAGACTATTTATTTGTTTTTTCTTAACAGTGGTCGTCCCTCGGTAGGCAATGGCAAAGCTCCGAGTGCATTTCTGCCATGAACCTTCTTCTTCTTTCTTCTTCTTATTTGGCGCTGTAACCGCCTAAGCGATTTTGGCCGAGTCCAAAACAGCACGCCAGTCATTTCTCTTCTGTGCTAACTGACGCCAATTGAAAATGCCAAGTGAAGCAAAGTCCTTCTCCACCATGAGCCAACATCAAGGCGCACGCCTCAAATCGGAGGAGAAGCTCGGCCAAACACTAACATACGTGTAAGCGCCAATCTATTATTATTATTATTATTATTATTATTTATTTGTATAAAAGCTTTTGTGGTAATATTGGAAATGTTTAAGGTTAATTTCCAAGTCCCGAAATGTAAAAATCTTTTCTGTTTTATGTTTAATCAGCTGAATTATCTGACGTGACGTTATCTGATCACTTAATTTTTAATATACATATAAGTATTTAATACACACATTCTTGCTACTGCTAATCACTTGAAAAAAAAATCATAAAAACGAAAATATGACGGCAATATTTCTTGCTTAAAATATTTTAGTTCCATCGCACACCGCGGACTTTATCGGACGCCGATTTAGTTGAGGTGCTAGTCTTTCCATTGCACCACAACTAATTGGTCGGAGCTATTAAGTTGGTGTAGTGAGCGCATCGCCATATATCTTCATGTACATATATCAAGCGAGCCCTTCTATTTAAATAGGCAGCCGATAAAGGCTGTGGTGTGCGGTGGCTCTTATAGTTGTATCCTTACATATTTTCCGTGTGCTGCAATATCTACATGAGCAGCAGTTAATTTTTTTCATAATTTTTTATGAAGAAAATATTTAAAAATATTTGAAAATTTCTTTAGTTATGTGCACAGTATACAGTAATCCAGATAGCCAAAACAAAAAATGTAAATATGCTTATTTGACATTTTGTTTGAATGTATTGGTTAATATTTTTTCACAGTTGTCGTTTTCGTTAACCCAAATGAAATCCAATTTAAATNATTTTCACTGTTTGGTTGATTCGGATGGAAGATGAGATGCTTTTTCACGTGGTAAAAGCAGAAAATCTTAACTTGCTTAGAAGTACAAAAACGTCACTTCTTCAGTGTTACTTTTTTAAATGTTCCACACTAGCAACTTACACGATGAACTATAATAATATTCCGACCAACAACAACACTTACTGGACGTCCGGCGCGGAGAACAATTAACGAGATAATGAGAAACTGACGAAACGAGTTGCTTACTTTTAACAGCTTTTTCACAGAAAACTAGTTTTCGCACGTAAGCTCCCTTTTCGTAGACCAGGTCACATATATCAAAATATTCAAAATGACGAGATGAATTGGTCCAGGCCTCTCTATTTGTAAACACGCAAACGTGAACAAAATTTCGATATTTTAACGAAAGTCGGTGTCGAAGTTGTCTTTGGTATAATTTAGGTTAGTGTTAAATTTTGGCGAAATCTGCCAATAACCACGAACACCTCCCACGTAGTAATTAAAATATTTTTGTTTTATTATTTTTTTACGAATTTTGCTGTTCAAATTTACATTTCAAATATATCAACAAACATTTGTGGGTACTCTTACATCAGTCGTTGCCTATGGGTTAATGACAAAAAAATCCTATACATTCACAATATTTCATGAATTAATTTTCAAATAAGCATATTGTCAATGGCTGGTTTACTGTATACTGTGGTTATGTGTTTGGCTTTCCTTTATTTTATTTTTCCAACGTCAAAAGCTAGATTTTTTTTTTTGAAAAAGTTGGTACAACAAAATATACGAAACACGTTTTCTGTCAGATAGCTAACATGGCGGATAAGAAGAAGAAATGAAACTACTTTCTAAAAATTATTGTACCATGGTTTAACACTTATTTTTTTTTTTTTTTAATTTTTATGAATCTGCAATTAAATACAGTGCACAAATTCATAAAGTTTTCCAAATTTTTTATCATAAAGCAATTTAGTAAGGATCAGAGACAAAGGACCATCATTAGTTAATTAGTTTGTAAGTAGCTACTGTTTATTTTTCTTTTCAGTCTTTTAGAAAAGTGTCATTTCTATATTAAATAAATATGTAATAAACAGCTTCGCAATACCTTGTACAGGGCAACACACTTCACTATTATACATTAGTACTTCGAAGCAGTGTACTTCATCTAGCGTTGATATCAAAATAAAATATTCTATGGAAGACAATTCAAAAATTTCAGGCATTGCTATGTCATGTCAACTCAGCCGAGGTGTTATGCCATGTCATTCCATCTCAAACACACTGTTTTAGCATGTCGCATTTTAATTGCCCTTTCTCTTTTCGTGTTCGATTCTAAAATAAAGGAAAACGGAAAGGAAATTGATAATCCTGTGACAATAAACCTGATTTATGATATAATGACGACGGTTCTCTGCAGATTTAACTCGCGTGAAAACAGCGAACAATGAACCAGCAGAAATTTAGACAAACTAAATTTTTGGTCATGAGTCGCAAAAGGCCACTTGGCGAAAGCAGCAAAGACGATGAATGTAATAAAACAACCTGTTCCGTGGTGAAAAAAGCTTTACGATCGTCGTGCAAATATGACGCCGTATATGATCAAATACAAAGGGATGTTGAGGAGATTTCGTTTCTATTCGTCGAGGTATTAAGATACATTCACTTTACACTGATGAAACGTTGGGTACAAGGAAACTTTGACGCAATGAATTTTCTTGACTGTTATAACCAGTTGATGCTAAAGAAAAAAGCGAAATCTACAATAGACCAGGAGTATAATATGCTGCGAAAAAACTTCAAGTTGTACGATAGTTCGTATCGGTCGAATTTATTTGTGGAAAACACGAATAAATTTCTGACTATATTCCATAACAATATTTGGATGCACGGTTATACTCGGCTCAGAAAGTATTTCAAATTTGAAGAAGACAAAAAAAGGTATATAATAAACTGAGGGCCGGTTTTTCAGTGCCAGTTTAAACTTAGATTAAGTAAACTGAGTTTAAATTGAACGGCTGGCANACTATATTCCATAACAATATTTGGATGCACGGTTATACTCGGCTCAGAAAGTATTTCAAATTTGAAGAAGACAAAAAAAGGTATATAATAAACTGAGGGCCGGTTTTTCAGTGCCAGTTTAAACTTAGATTAAGTAAACTGAGTTTAAATTGAACGGCTGGCAGGCATTTGATTGGCTGATCTTAGTTTAAACCAGCCAGATCGGGCGTTTAAACTTAGTTTAAACCACGGCCGTGCACTGAAAAACTGGTCCTGAGCTACCTATCCGATAAAAACTCCAAAAATATCCCAGAAGAAGCGTTACTTGAACATATGCGTACCGATTTAAAATGGAACGGAACGAAACGAATTATCGGCGAATTCGTCAAAATTTAAAGAATACTGTTAATTTGAACTTCAGATACCACAACAAAAGCAACAAATTTCCTAGCAAAGAAAGGTGGCTCGTCTAAAGTTGAAGAAGTACATTTGCCGACAAAAAGCCTGCGAAACAACTGATACCAAACACAAGAGAGAGTACATTGATATGTTCCACCGAAATTGCTTCAAACTCACCTATACGCGGATATCGGCGTACACCTAACCGTCTACTTCTAACAGCTTTAAAACAATGGCATGCAGATATTCTGATGGTTAATGATCGCCCCACAGGTACCAATTTTGCCCAAAATGTGGTACATGTTGGAATCGAGACGTCAACGCTGGGAAAAACATACTCTGCCTGGGAGAATGTATCATCAAGCAAAACGAAAAACGAAAATTTTAAAAAATAAGATGTCACTATTTCTTGTATAACGGCAACTGTGTAAATCTGACTGGCAACAGTTTAACTTTAATGTTAACTGTCAATGTTAACAGTTTAACTTTAATGATAACTGTCAATGGTGCGTAAAGTATTGTGTCCGAGCGATTTAGTTCTGCGGCTCTAATTATATTCCCCAACATAAAATTAAAGAAATTACACGAAAGGGAGTCACCTTGTCTGGAAGCTCGTGGTATCAAACGGCGCGGAGAGCTCCTTCGCAATTCTGACGGAGCTGGTGGTATTGCTCAACGTCGTTTTACACGGCCGTATTAGTATGACAGGGATACCAAATCAGAAATCGCTTCGTGCTGTTGAAAGTGGCTTTGATGGATTTTCCTGGTCTAAAGTTGCACTGACAAGGCCCAACCAGTTCGTTGACTTTGGGCTTCATCTTTTACACAATACGTTCGAATAGACCTTACACCCTATGCTTAGAAAGCTGATACCGCGATAGTTGGCGCTTATGGCGGAGTCGTCTTTTTCTGTGAATATGGCAGAGCACACTTAAATTTCAGTCGTCGGGCATGCGTTCATCTGACGACATTCCGCATAGAGTTGAAGCATGCCGCCGTACTTGAATAGTACTAACTTTCTGGTAAAATTTTCGTGCGTTTTTCCTGTCAGCTAGCATTTAAAGCTCTTTTCGCTATTTCTCGCTTACCTCTTCCACACCCTGTA